ATAGTGCACTACAAACGTATCGAAATCGAATATAAATTTACATAATCCACTACGAATTAACGTAATCCATTACAAAATTATCAAAATCCACTACAAAGTTATCAAAATTCATTTAATAGGTTAAAGTAATCCACTACAAAATTAACGTAATATTTGGATTGAAATCCACTACATACTCATTGAAAACCACTATAAATTCATCGAAAACCACTATTCGATTAACGTAGAAATCATTATGAAATTGAATATAAATTTACATAATCCACTACGAACTAACGTAACCCATTACAAAATTATCAAAATCCTCTACAAAGTTATCAAAATCCACTTTATAGATTAAAGTAATCCACTACAAAATTAACGTAATATATGGTTAATCCACTAAAAAAATATCGTAGAAAAACACTTATGCATCAACAACAAACTTATCAAAATTCACTACAAGCTTCCGAATTTATGATAGTGTTGCTCGTGGTTTTCGTTAGGTTAGAGTGACCCGGTGATAAACACTACAAACTTATCATCACCCAACATCGTCTCACTTGCTGCCATCACCCGCTTGTGCAAGAACCTAAACCAAAGAAAAATAAGACAACAACGTGTCAATTTAATTCATTCACTAAAATTCGGTCTCCAAAGCAAGAATTTAAAATCCACTACAATCTCGCCAAAACCCACTACAAAAATTATCGAAATCCACTAAAATATTAACATAATCCACTACGAAATAAGTTAATCCACTAAAAAATTACAACAACAGTATAATAACAAATATTCAAATAGTGACCGAAAACATGAAGGAGCCTCAAAAGTATATTGAAAATCTCATATATATAATAGCTCATTCAACAATTCAACTAGTTGTCACTTCTATTTTGTAGAATTTATTTATGGATATAAAGAAAAAATGATAGCAAAAAAATAGCAGCAAACCAACATCTTAAAACAGCAGCAAAGCAACACGAAAACAACAGCAAAACAGCAACAAAATCAGCTGCAAATTAGGAGCCAAACAGCAGCAAAGCCAAAAGAAAACAGCAGCAAAAACAGCAGCAAAAAACAGCAGAAAAAACAGCAGCAAAAAACAGCAGCAAAATAGCATCCAAACAATAGCCAATTGTAGCTAAAAAATACAATAAATAAATTATAATTCTAAATTTTCAGAAAAAAAATATCCAAAATTTGAAAATATTTTTGGAAATTATGGAATTTTCGATAATATTTAGTGCTTCACCTTATTAATTCGTATTGTATTTCTTACTAAAAATTATCAAATTTCAAAACCAAAACATGTTTGAAATAAGACATTATCCAATTTCAAAACCAAAACATGTTTGAAATCAGAAGAATTTATATAAAAAAAAATATGAAATCATGGGATGAAAAATCAAAAAACCTAAAGCGACGAAGTATTTTCGCATACCTTATAATCAACAACCGTCGACGAGAAAGAGAACCGCGGTGAACTTATCTATTTGCCGACAAAATATAGAGGCAATGAGACAAATCGTTTGGCGTTTTGGGAAAACTTACCAAATTCGTGGGTAAGCGGATCTCGTCAGTGAGTGAGAAGACGATTAACAAGATGGACAGATCTGGTAGTATGTAACGAGGGGCGGCGATGGTGGTGGGAAAAGAGAGGGGCGGCGGCCGAGGAGGAGAAGGGCGGAGATGGTGTGGTCATCCGGTGAGACGACGAGGTTGTGGAGCAAGATTATGGCGCGATTGTGGAGAGAAGGAAGGAAGAAGACGAAGCGAGGTTGTGGGGCGTACGTGATTGTGGAGAGAAGGAAGGGAGAAGAGGAATAAGTGAAGGGGCGTGTTTCGGGGTTTGAGTAGGTTAAAAAAATTGAGAAAGGGTATAACATGTTATTAATAATATAATTTGTTTAATAAAATGCAATTGGATTTATCTCAAAAAGGAGAACAAAAAAAGGATTTAGTCTAATGATACATTGTATATGAGGGGTTATCTCAAATAATCCCTTTGTTTTATATATAAGACTAAAAGTTGAAGCCTGCAATTTTTTTTTAAACATTCTTGGTCATTTGGAATTTTCTTTTAAACTTGCATGTAATATGAAATTTCGTTAAACTTTGTTAATCAAATTTAAAAAACGAATTAAGAAAATAAAAGATTGGAACCGTGTCATAATTAACTAGAATAATCATTTAAACTCGAAGCTCGAAAAATCCCGAATCTAGCCGTAGAAATCAGAGTAAGACATTCCCCTACTTGACGGTTAATTAGTTAATTAGTTAGTACTTTAATTTGAAATTAGATGTGATGTTCAATAACGCCTCTAATTTAACAATAATCGGAAGCTCGTTTGTAATATTTTTAGCGATAATTCATAATTTTCGTTTTATTAACTATGTGAAAATTTAATCTCCTATAGCTACAAATTTTATTGGATCTTAGCATTTGTTTACGAGGTTGAGTTTTTAATTGCTGGAGTCGAGCTATCATGATTATATATTATGTCAACCGATTATAACTCCTATTATTTAGTCAATCGACGACTTTATAGTAACAATCAACAATAATCTAACGACGAACGTTTTCATTTAAACAATTCTAAAATTTCAAAAAATCAGTATAAAAAAAGGTACACGTACAAATATGGTAGAAAAATTCAAGCAATGCAATTTGCAATCTTTTATTACAAATTATATTCATAAATTTTTTTGGATATTATTTTAATGAATGTTTCCTAGTTCCTACTATGCACAAATCAAATCCAACAACAATTAAACTTATGCTGCTATTTCCAAAAACAAAAATCAAGAAAAGAAAACACATGATTCTTTCCATGATGACGTAATCACTGCGTCTTCACTATAAGTTATTCGCCCTTCGCCTTCGTCTTTTTTCTTATCACACAAGCGAAAAGATAAGTACAAGATATATACTTAATTTTTTCTATAATTAATATAAATGGCGAACGCAGTTCCGGTAGCCTAAAAACCTTGCGCTGCATGCAAGCACCAACGCAGAAAATGCGATCAAACTGCGTACTCGCCAAGTATTTTCCGGCAGAAAGATCCGACGATTTTGAAAACGTGTACCATCTTTTCGGGATGCAAAACACATTGAAAAATACTAAAATCGGTGGAGGAAGAAGAAAGGGACGCAACGAAAATGAGATTATAACATCCCGTGCACGGCCACTTTTCAGTGGCGAGAAAGCTTAGCATCGAGATTGAAAAGACCGAGAAAGAGCTCGAAATTGTCCGCCAAAAAATTCACATATGTAAAGGAGCGGATAATCAGGCCGGCCCGTCGACTCGTGGAGGGTAGTCCTATCAACCGTGAATGTGTTTTTGGTAAAACAAAATTTTGTATTAGACCTAGGCTGCTCGAACGTGTATTTATAGTGCATAGGACAATAATGTATTAATACATTTTTTGTAATGGAAAATCCTCGGCCGAGATATTTACATTAAATCGACTTACGTCACGCGTATGATTAATTGAAGATTTTTTTTCGTTTTTAATTTAATCCGATCCATTGATTTTTATTAATTGTTTCCGTGGTTGACGTGTTTGTTTATTCGTTATCCGTTAATTTTCGACGAAAGGAATTGCTATGTTTGTTTTTTGTTTACATTATTTTACAGCAATATAAAGAAAATTTTATTCGATGGAATAATATATAATGGTAAAGTTTTGTTTTTAAAATTTATTTGGATATTTTAATCCTTCATCCGGCTTAGTGAAAATACAGCTTCTTTTCTATTAATCTTATTTTTAATTTGATATTGCTTTTAAATATTGCTCGTACATAATTTATTTATCTATTGTTAATCTTCTCTACTATATTTGTGTACTTTTATTACTAATAAATCTATTGTTATTAATTAATTAAAAAGTAACAATAATTATAAATAAAATTGATTGTTATAATAATTAATAGGCTTTATTTTTAGATGAAAAAACTACTACCGATTCAATTTTAAAAACAAAAATCCCGAGAATTATGTAATCGAAATTTCAAAAATTGAAATGAAACTTTTATATTCTAAAATTAGAAATTTTGGATCGAAATCGGCATGATAAAATGCATGGTAATGTTGGTGTCGTAAATGTAATTCATGAACGGAAGAAAAAAAAAATGAAATTTTGAAAATTAAAGTGGAATTGAAAATATGTATCTATATATAATATAAATAGAGGATCTATGCCCTCAATAATTGACATGTGGCAAATGTGGATGTCAGAGCATCCCTAGTGGGGCTCTCCAAACACATTTTTGTGTCAAAAAATTAGTAACCTCCAAAATTTGGAGAGCATGAGTGCTGCAGTGGGAGGAATTGTGGATCCACGTGGCTCTCCAAATTGGAAGACTCTCTACTGTGCTCGCCACAGTTAACACACAACTTAACAAGCAAATGGTGGGACCATGTGTTCTCTTCCCATTTTTTTATTGTTTTCTTATTTCTTTACATTTCTATTCTTTCAAATAATAATAATAAAAAAAACAAGCTTTGTCAATCAATGTATTACATTTATGATAATTTCAATAATATTTTTAATATGATAATAAAATGACATAAAGTTAATTAATTCCATAAAACTGCATTGTACATTTAATTAAAAACTAATTTTAAAATATGTTATGTGGTTAGTACTATTTATGCTAATTCATGTTGTTTATAATTAATTCAGAATATTTTCTATTGATTATTATTATTTGAAAAGAAAAAAAGGTTTCATTATTTTGTTTATTATTTATGTACATGTTTTAAAATATAATTATATTTTAAAAAAAACTTTGCAATGTTATAATGTAATTACTTTAAATATTATAAAAGATTAGATAAGATAAGATGACGATGAATAGATAAAATGAATAGATAAAATGTCATAAATTAAGCTAATTATATATTGCAATTATACCAATTCGAGGATTACAAAATAAATTACGGATACAAACAGACAAAAGTAAAGAAATTACAACTCACGTATGAAAATAAGACAACATTGAAAAGTACATTATTTAAGCCTCCTCATCTCCAAAGATATTCCACAAATGGTTTGTAAGATCAGATCTCAAGACTTCATTGGTTCGGTGATTGCGAATTCGACCAAGACGCGCCGAGATGTGAGACACAAGAATTGATGGATCTCGACCATATTCGGGAGGAAAAATATTTTCTTCTGGCAAAGGTTTCCATACGTCGTACTCAGTTTCTCGTTCATCTTCTATAATCATATTATGAAGGATAATACAAGTTTTCATTATGTCACATAGATCTGTTTTTGACCAATAGCGTACATGCCCTTGTGTTATGCCCCATCTAATTTGTAACACACCAAATGCAGGTTCTACATCTTTTCGGACAGCCTCTTGTTTTCGAGCAAATAATTTTTCTTTTGAAGTGGTAGGATGAGGAATCGTTTGAATGAGAGTTGCATACTTGGGGTAAATACCATCGGTTAAGTAATATCCCATTGTATATGAATGGTCATTCACTGTATAATTAATTGGAGGCGTTCTACCATGTATGAGTTGGTCGAATAGTGGAGAATGATCTAAGAAATTAATATCATTATTACCACCTGCCATGCCAAAAAATGAATGCCAAATCCAAAGGTCTTGGGATGCAACTGCTTCTAGAATTAAAGTCGGTTTATGATGGCGGCCTCTATGTGTGCCATGCCAAGCAGTTGGACAATTTTTCCATTCCCCATGCATACAATCTATAGAACCAAGCATACCTGGATATCCTCGCGATTCACCTTCTTGAAGTAAACGAGCAATATCAAATTCGTTTGGTGAGCGCATGTATTGTTCCTCGTACAATTCAATTATCGAGGAACAAAATATCTTTAATGTCGTTGATGCAGTCGTCTCCCCAATCTTGAAATATTCATCACAATGATCTGCAGAAAATCCATAAGCAAGTATACGAAGTGCAATAGTTGTTTTTTGAATAGAGGATAGACCAAGGCGGCCAATAGCATCTCTCTTTCGGATGAAGTATGAGTTATGATTTTCAAGATCATTCGAGATACGAAGAAATAACTCTCTACGCATCCTAAAACGCCTGCGAAAAAAATCAGGTGAATAAGTGCAATTATCAGAAAAATAGTCATCCCATAATTGCTGATGACTTTTTTCACGATCACAATTAAGCATATTTTGAGTCTCTCTCCTCATACGAATGGAAAAAAGCTCTTCATCCTCTGAGGATGTGGATGAAGAACTTGATGATTGAAACAATGTTGACTCATCTTCTGGAAACCATCCAGATGAAGAAGCCATTCTATTTTTTATTTAATAGAACTTTACACATGAAGAAACTATTTATAATGAGTTTAAACTGGTTTGGATGGGGAACAAGGCCATGTGGAAAATCGTGGACTGAATTAATTTCTTGGGAACAAGCCATGTTTTTTTTTGGCAGGATAAGATGAAGTGCTATCAAAGTGGGTGAAATATTTTGTTGCAGATATATGGTTGATAGTGATTAAATTGATTTTTTGCAGCGATAAGATATTGATTAAATTCGTTTTTCGGGAAAAAGTGTTATCTTATTGGCTGAATTATTTTGTTGCAGAGATAATGGTAGATAGTAATTTAATTTTTTGCAGGGATAAGATATTGATTGAATTGATTTTTCGAGAAAAGTGCCATGATTTTTGCAAGGATAAGATATTTATTAAATTGGTTTTTCGGGAAAAGTGTTATCATAGTGGATGAATTATTTTGTTGCAGAGATATGGTTGATAGTGATTAAATTGATTTTTTGCAGGGATAAGATATTGATTAAATTCATTTTTCGGGAAAAGTGTTATCATAGTGGCTGAATTATTTTGTTGCAGAGATATTATTTTGTTGCAGAGCTAATGGCTGAATTATTTTTCGAGAAAAGTGCCATGATTTTTGCAGGAATAAGATATTTATTAAATTGGTTTATCGGGAAAGTGTTATCACAGTGGATGAATTATTTTGTTGCAGAGTTAATGGTAGATAGCAATTTAATTTTTTGCAGGGATAAGATATTGATTGGATTGATTTTTCCAGAGATAAGATATTGAGTGAATTGTTTTTCGAGAAAAGTGCCATGGTTTTTGCAGGGATAAGATATTGTGTATATTATTTTTCGGGCTAAGTGTTATGATAATTGGTGGATTATTTTTCTCCACTATAAATAGTAGTCTTATATTGATGATGAAAACTCACAAATTCACCTTCATTTTACATCTAAATCATGGATCCATACAAATATTTCAATCCTAATATGCATCCACTATATAGTCAGCCACCAACACAAAATGAGTCTCAAACATTTAATCCTTATTCTATCAATTCACAATTTTCACAATTTCCATTTAATCATTTTGGTTTTGCAGGTTCAACTCAAATTCCAACTCAAGAGCAAATGCAAACCCCACATACATCAAGCAAGAAGAGTTCTAGAGGACAAGGACAAAGAGAGCGACGGCCAAACTGGACTATACAAGAGGATGAAGCATTGTGTAAATCTTGGTTACATATTTCTGAAGATGCAGTAGTCGGTACAGATCAACTGAGAGGGAGGTTATGGGACCGAATTAGAATGGAATTCATAAACAACTTAAAACAAGATGTTGGCAGAAATCCAAATGGGCTAATGAATCGGTGGTCGACCATTCAACAAAGCGTTAGCAAGTTTTCGGGATACCTCAGTGTGATTGAACGAGCTCGTATAAGTGGATACAATGCCGAAGATAATGTAAGTAAATGGAAAAAAAATTACGTTTCATTCACTTTTATATATATATGTATCTACAAAATTTTTTAAGTCAAGTATTTATATTTCAAGTTTTATCTGTAGATGGGAGCAGCAACAAAATTATATTTTGAGAAAGAAAATCATCATTTTAAGTGGGAGACTTGTTGGCTAATTCTGAAGGACACTTCAAAATGGTACCGTCATGTCAACGACCAACGAGAAAAACAGAAAAGAACTTCTCAAAGAAAAATGACAGAAATTAATTTGGATGATGATGATGACGTTGGAGAGTCCTCCAATGCACAAACTCCATCAACTGAGTAATTCACCCCTACTGGGACTCCAACCTCAGTTAGCCTTGATGATGAAGATGGATTATCTAATCACGACTCAACTGGACTAGTACGTCCTGATGGTCGCAAAATTGTAAAAGGTCCTACAAAAAAGAAGAAAAGTCTTCCTTCCATGGACTTATTTGCAAAGGAGTTCGCTAATATGAGGAAAGAAACATCAAGTCAGTTCGAAGAAGAAGCCATTAGAAGAACTGCAAGAGAACAACAAAAGTTACAAGCCAAAATGGAAGCAAAACAAATGAGGCTACAAGCTCAAAAAGAAACCGAGCAGATGAGAATTGCAGCAATGCAAGAACAAGAAAAGAAACGATTTGAGAAAGACATAATGATGATGGATCCCGAGTCAGCACCTACACTTGAGGGTAAAAAATGAATTATTGATCAACAAACTTGGATCCTTGAACAACAAAGAGAAAACATAAGTCGTGCATGCAAAAGTAAGTCAACATTCAAAGATCTTAATAATTAATTTCCTAGTATTCTCGTATTTTTTTTTTGTTTATGCCTATAGTTGGAGGGATGTTCCAACATTTTTATGCTAATTATTTATAATATTTTGTGTTTTTATTATTTATGTTAATTTATGTTATTTGTAAATAACTCACAACATAATTAAAAATTATAAAATATTAGATAAGATGGCGCAAATGAAAAATTAAATTAATCAAGAATTATATCAAATTTATCAATTAAATATATAAATTTTGAAAATTTATTTTTTTAAATTTTAGTTATACCAGAATTATTACCAAAAATCAAGAATTTTAATAATCAAGAATTAGATTTGATTATATCAAAATATATACTTATTTTTAATTATATCAGAATTATATAATATTTGTATTAATAATGAATATTTTATTATAATTTAATATTGGGAGAGCTATTTTAGAGAGGGCCAAAATGTACCCATTGGAGCAAAAATTAATTTGGAGAGTGTGTAAGTGGGACCTATTTTTAGAGAGGAGTTTAAGGAGGATGAATGTGGGTATGTGGCATGTGGACCCCATGGTTTGGAGAGTGGATTTGGAGAGCTCCATTGTGGATGCTCTCATACCTCCAAATTGCTTAGTTGGAGTTCAATTGATTATGTGGCATCTCAAATTGATTAGTTGGCATTTCATTTTTGGTATTTGTTAAGTTTATTTCCTATTTAATATTTGCACAATCATCTAAACATTACCACATATGCATTTATTTTTTAATGTATTTAATCTATATATAAATTCGAAAAATATTTATCTTATTTATACTTTTAATTTTCGTAATATATTTATTTGAATGCCCATTTTTATGAATATTCAAATAAATTTTAGGAATTTTTCATTATAATAATCGACTAATTTTATTAATAAAATACATTTTTTTTAATTTTTGTAGTTATAGAATATCGGAATATGCATTCAATAAATTATATTTGTTTAAAATACAACATATAAATACACGATTGAAGTTTTGACGTCTTCAATTTTGATCCTAGATTTTTCATTTATTTCATTTTTTGACTTCTTTGTTTAATTATTTTTTTTTTCATTTAATTAAGAGAAATAAATAGAAACAAATCTTCTTTCAGTGTTTATTAATTTACCTTATATCATATACGGATTGTGATAAAATATTAATGGTAATCAATTAATGATATTATTTTAATTATAATTTACCTTATAATTCTTGAATTTTATAATGAATTTCTTCAATTGAAATTTAGATATATATAAATAATCCGTTCATATTTTTTTTCTCCATAATTAATATTGATTATAATAAATATATTATGGCAACATTCTTATTTTATGGATTAATATACAATAAATGCATCAAATCATTAATCAATAATATAATTTACTATTTTAGAAAAACCTAAAAAATCTTCTTTACATACACTAGAAAAACCAAAACTAACCCTTATAAATACCGCATCTTTTCATAGATTTGTCATAATTGAGACGTGTAACTAAGGGAAACGGTTTGTTGTGTTTCCTTTCTTTCCCCCCTTTCTTTTTCATTTTAATTTTTTGTTATTCGATATAATATTCCACAAATTGTATTTTCAATGTATTATGTTCTTATATTTGTTTTTGCTTATATTCGTAACTGCTTTATACAATAAATAAGTGTATAAAATAAAATAACAATTGTTTTTTATTATTTGTTTTGTTAATATTATTTTTTCAGTACTACTTCTTTATGTTTTTCATTAATATTATTTTGTTTTTCATTTTCATGGCTTTATTTTTATTCCTTACCATTGGTTGTTTCATTACAATACTTTTATTTTTCATTCACGTCTTTATTTTTTTAATGTATTCAAACTTCCATTAATTTTTTCCAGTCCCTTTTTTTTTTATTCACTATATTTGTTCTCGTGCTATTCTTCATATTATTGTCGTTGTTATTTTTTCTTTTGTTATTTTTTATGTTTTTTTTCACTGTTATTTTTGTTGTTCATTCGATTTTCACTGTTTATTATTCTAAATATTTTTAATGTTTTTTAATGGCATCCATTTGTTATCCCATTAAATCCTAACCCATTAAATACGTGCCCGGTAAATCCCTGATTTTGAATTTTTATAAATAGATACCTATTTTTTATCCCATTAATTCTTTTTTTCTGGCAAATTTGTTTTTTGGGGTGCAATTCTCGCATTAAAATTTACTAAATCACGAACATAAATTATGAAAATTCTCTCTCTAATCATATTCTCACTAACTTCTCTCTAGTTTTTTCAAGATCAAGATTACTCAAAAGCATTTTTTAATATTTATTTACACTTATTATTTACTTATTCTATTATTAAGCATGTTTAAATATTCAACATTTTTGTACACATTAATTAATACTTATTCGACAATTATTTATATTTAACAAACATAATTAATTAACAAATAATTGAATTAAAGAAAAAATCATAAACCCTAGCTTGTCCCACCGCACCCCAGCCGCAGTCGCAGCCGCCAACCCCCACCCCGTTTAGCTTTCTTGCGTCTGCCATGGCAGCGTACCTCCCTTCTGTTGCCAGCCAATTATCACGGGTCATTTCACCGAGACCATCTAGGATGGCGTTTCAACTCCACCGGCAACCACTATACAAAAAAGTTTTTTCTTTTCTTCGAGAAAATCTTGAAATTGCAATCCAAATCCATCTCAATTCGTCCTAAAAATGAAACTAACATTTAAATATATGACATACGTAGCTTGAATATATAGACTTTTCTTAAATTCAAACTTGAAATGCAGAGACAAATTTTGTTTTGTGGAAAAATGAAGAAAGAAAAAGGAGATGATGGGAGGAAAAAATAGATTTTAGAGAGATAAAGTTTTTTTGTTGTGTGCGGAACTTCATAAATTTAGTGCGGAATTTAGCATTTCAGATTTTTTTTAATTCATTTGATCAATTTATTTTAATTTTTCGATTCCATAAATAGTATTTATTGTGAATTACAAATATACCACATATTTGTGGTTAAGATTATGATTAGAATTAGCATTAGTACTAGGGTTAGGGTTAGTATTCGTATTAACATTATTATTAGAATAAGGATCATGTTAGGATTACTATTAAAATTATCATTAGCATATTAGGATTAGTATTAAGATTACTGAAATGTTAAATGTCGTTTCACTTTTACTAATGTCGTTTTGACTTCAAACCTGATTTTGATATATTTCTATTTTGATTTTGGCAAAATTTGAAACAAAAAAAACTGTAGTCATTTGGGTTATCTTTCTAATCCAACTTAAATCCGCTAAATTGGAAGTCGTGTGACAAAGTTATGCTTAAATGAGTCACATTTTGAATTTTAGATACCTTAATACATCAAAGTTGTGGGCAATATCCATTGATGCATGTATATCTTTCTCGCCCAACATCCAATTTTCTTGATTTAAGATGGATTAGAAACCTAACTCAGAATACTATAAGTTCTATTTTTGGGTTTTGCAAAATTTGTAATTAAAAATGATCAAAACCACGTTCGAAGTCGTAACGGTATGATCAAAGTTCGAACGACATTTATCACATCCCCTAAGATTAATGTTTGCATTAGCATATTTTGATTTCTATTAGAATGAGAATTATGATTACTATTATTATTATAATTACCATTATGATTAAAATTAGGATTATGATTATGATTATGATTAGAATTAAGATTAGCATTGTTATTAGGATTATGATCGTGATATGATTATGATTGTGATCATTATTAGGAGATTAGATTAGTATTAGGATAATGATTAATATTACCATTAGTATTAGCATTAGGGTGGGGTTATAATTAGCATTAATATTAGGATTATAATTAACATTAGCATACAAGGATTAACATTAATATTAACATATTATGATTGACATTAGCATTAGCGTATTAAGATTATCATTAATATTATCATTGACATTAGCATTAGGATTATGATTAATATTCACATTGACAATGGCATCGGCACCACTAACATTAACATATTAGGATTAACATTAGCATTTGTATTAGTAATAGTAATAGTATTATTAGTAGATCAGTATTAAAATTTGTAATGGTAACGGTAACGGTAAGGTTAACATTTTGTTTAAAGAAGAGTCTTCATTTTTCTTCCTCTTCTTCTAAGAAAAACCCTCTTTTCTTTTAAATATTTTTCCTCTTGGCCAACACCCCTTTTTTTTGTATTAGGTAAGAAATCTCGAATTTCTTGGTGCAATTAAAGAATATCATAGTAATGGAAAAGATTTTTCAAAAATAATTATCTAAACGATTTCTTCACTTTTCGAAAATTAGGGCTTTTTGTGTAAGAACCGAAACACTGTGCTAATCTTGCAATTTATGTTCTTGCATGTCTAATCCATGTTATAATCTTTGGATCGAAGTATTTTATGGTTAAAGATTTAAATATTTCTGATTTTTGGAAATTTTGGCTAAAGAAAATAAGTTTCTGGGATTTTTTGGGGTTGTATGTGTAGATCTATGAATCTTAAG